AGAGAGCCAGCCCTAACTCTGATGCCCATTCTCCCTCGCAGCCCCTTCCCACACAGACCAGCATGGGTCTTCTCTCCAGCCCCACCCTTCGAGGCGCGGACGCGTATTCCCTGAGCTGCTCCCACGGCCCCTCGTTTCTCTTCTCCCTTTCGTGAAAGTCATGTCCTTCAGAATAGCTAGAACTCCTCTCTCTGGCAGCAGCCTGCACCCACTGAAGGCCTCGCTTCTGCACGTCCTTGCTCACGTCTTTCCATAGTTCTTCCCACGCAGGCCCCACTCCCCTCCCTGGGCCCCTCGGCTCCCCGCCATTCCAGCCCCACACGCTCCCCATTCACAGCAGCTCTCCCGGCAGGTGTTGGTGGTGCTGGCCGTCGGGGGCTGGAGCTCCAGCTCCCTACAGCGGCCTCTGTTTCTGGCCGTGCGCCTTGCCTCCTGGAACCAGATCCTGGACCCCTGGGTGTACATCCTGCTGCGCCAGGCCGTGCTGCGCCAACTCCTTCGCCTCCTGCCCCCGAGAGCCAGCGTCAAGGGCGGCCCCGGGGGAATGAGCCTAACCCGCAGCGCCTGGGAGGTCAGCTCGCTGCGCAGCTCCCGGCACAGCGGTCTTAGCCATTTCTAAGCACTCCCAGAAACCCAATGGCTGAGCCAGCCCACCCCGGGCCGGATCCAGGTGCGCGGTGCAGAGCCTTGGGAAATAAAGCCACGTAGCGAGTCTAGGGCGGTGTGTCCCGTCGAGGCTGCAGCACCTACTATGGCCGTGCAGGAGCGGCAGAAGGCCTCCAGGCGAGTGCAGTTCTACGACTGGCCACGTGAGGGCGCAGAGACACCGGACGCTCGGTCAGCAAGTAGCGGCCGATTCCGCCCAGCACCAGCCACTTGCGCATGCGCGCAGCGCCCTGGCCACAGTCCTGGACTTAGGGTTCATTAAAGCGAGCATTTGGGGTGCGCTTCCCACCTCTGCAACCGTCGGGACAGACTCTCTCAACCATTCTGCTCATTATGACCACGAGCTCCTCCAACATACCCCAAGACCGGACCCCCCAAGCCACACGCCATCACAGACCCCTATCTCCACACACGACCCCGAGCCCCCCACCATAACAGCCCTGAGTCTACACCCCGTTTTGACCCTCTTCAAATGACTCCCAGGGCACTTCGCCATCCCTTAAGCCCCCTATCCACCCGCCTCAACTGTCCCCACTTCCAAGCCCCACCCCACATCACTGAGCAAAAAACAAAAAAGACAAAGAAAGGATGCATGGACGGGGCGAACCCCAAAGACCTTTTTAAAAACTAAGAGCTCTCGGACAAGGCAGGGCAGGGCTGGGCAGGGCACCGGGGAGGGCTAGCAGCCCCCAGCCACGAAGTCGAAGTCCCGGAAGGCTGCCTGCTCCGCAGCCGTGAGCGGCCGTGCATCGCGGGGCGGGCTCAGAGTGGGGGGTTCTCCCGTGAACTCCTCGTCGAAGTTGCTGACGTCGGTGCGGCCGGACAGCTTGGGCACGAAGGGCGGTGGCAGGCGTCGAGCCAGCAGGGCGTCCCAGCCCAGGGTCTGCAGGGAACGGTGGGGAGTGGGGGTGAGGGCGTGGTCAGTGATGGGGGCGGAGGGGGAGAGGGCGTGGTCAGTGATGGGGGCGGAGGGGGAGAGGGCGTGGTCAGTGATGGGGGCGGAGGGGGAGAGGGCGTGGTCAGTGATGGGGGCGGAGGGGGAGAGGGCGTGGTCAGTGATGGGGGCGGAGGGGGAGAGGGCGTGGTCAGTGATGGGGGCGGAGGGGGAGAGGGCGTGGTCAGTGATGGGGGCGGAGGGGGAGAGGGCGTGGTCAGTGATGGGGGCGTCCCGGTTGCAAGAGGGCCCAGGGCTGGACCTCTGGGGATCAGCTCGAGGGGTCTCAAGACAGAGAGAGAGAGGGGTGGAGGGGACTGGGGTCTCTGGGAGGATCTGGAGGCTCACACACATAACAGTGTCCCTCACAGTCCAGGCTCAGTGGATAGAGGGTCCGGAATGGGGGTGGACAGGAGGGAGAAAATGGAGTCGTGACAGCGTCTGAGGGGCAGGACAGAGCTGGAGGGGCAGTAATGTCCTGACAACTCCTTCTCCCTTGCAGCCCCCTTCCCCTCTTCCTTCCTGGGATCCTCCTAGCAGCTAGGCCTGGGGGTCGTTACCTGACCCTTGATGGGGAAAATGATAGGGGTTTTGTTTTTGTTTTTCTGTTTTTTGTTTTTGTTTTGAGAGGTTTTGCTATAGGCTGCGTGTACTCGCCAGAGAGAGAGACAGAAGTGAGAAATCACCCCCCAGGGGGGATGGTCACGCCGCAATCCCTTCTCCTCCATTCTCCTCTCCGGATCTTGGGCACACACGCACACGCGCCTGGTGTGAGTTTAAGCCACCGGATCCGGGACTCAAACCGCGGCCGACTACATGGGAGTCCAGCGACATAGCCATGATGCCAACTGCTGGCCCCGATGGGGTTCTTGGGAGAAGTGGCCAGGCCCTTGGGGGGGACTCTCACCCGGAAGAAGGGCTGCTTTTTCACATCTTCTGCATCTTTCTCGCTGGACCCCAATCTCCGTTCGGGATTCCTTCGTAAGAGCTGCGGGTGAGGGAGGAAGCCTGGGGTCAGGGTCTGTCCCTTTTCTGGTCCCCCCTATAACCCTCCCCCATACTGGGGGGCGGGGTCCTCACCCTTCGCATGAGGCCCATGGCTTCGGCGGACAGGAAGCGGGGGTAGCGGACTTCATCGTTGACAATGCTGTCAAACACCTCTTCCTCGTCGTCCCCTGGGAACGGGGACTGGGACAGGGACAGCCGGGTGACGCGGCCTGGCCACCCCACCACGCCCAGCTCCATCTGAGCCCCCCACTGCAGCTGCACTGTCCCCCTGGGTGCTGGCCTCCCCGGGAGGCTAAGGAGCCCACGTCACTGATGTGGATGTCAAGGCCTCACCTCACCAACCAGCATCTCGTAGAGCAGGACGCCCAGCCCCCACCAGTCCACGGCCCGCGTGTAGGACGTGTCCGTCAGCACCTCGGGGGCCAGGAACTCCGGGGTCCCACAGAACGTGCTGGTCCGGTCCCCATAGCCCATCCCTGGGGACAGGAAGGCCGTGTGAGGGTATGATGGGGTTGGCGGGGGTGTCTCAGCCAGCCTCATCCCAGGGTCAGGGTGGGAGTAACCCCAAATACCAGTTGGGATGCTGATCACCCCCCCTCCTTTGGCAAATGCCCAGAGGACCCCCACATGCGCCAGCCCCTCACCCTCTTTGCAGAGGCCAAAGTCCGCGATCTTGACGTAGCCCTCAGTGTCCAAGAGCAAATTGTCCAACTTCAGGTCCCTGTGGGGGGCCGGGAGATGTCAAGAGAAATAGGGGGGGGTCTGGGCTTGACCCAGAGCCTGGGCTGCCCACCCCGCCGGGAGGAAGAGCATGCACACGCATGCACACACACACACACACACACACACACACACACACACACACCTGTACACGATCTTGTGTTCGTGGAGAAACTGCAACCCCAGCACCACACAGGCTGAATAAAAGCTGCAGAAAGATGGAGCCAGCGGATAATGTAGGGGTTAGGTTGTTGGACGCCCACGTGGCAGACCGCGGTTCGAGTCCCAGACCCAGAGGCTTGAAACTCCCGCCACGCAGGTGTGCATGTGTGCCCAAGATCCTGGGCACGGGAGGAGAATGGGGGAAAAGGGATTGTGGTGTGGCCATGCCCCCTGGGGGTGATAGCTCGCTGTCTCTGTCTCTCTGTCTAGTGAGTACATATGCTCTATACCAAAAATCACTCCGAAAAAAAAACAATAAGCTTTAGAAAAGTGGGGCCAGCAGATGGCTTAGCAATTACATCGCTGGACTCCACATGGCAGACTGTGGTTTGAGTCCTGGACCCAGAGGCTTGAAACTCATGCCATGCACATCTGCATGAGTGCCCAAGATCCCAGGAGGAGAAAGGGGGAGAAGGGATTGCAGTGTGGTCATCTCTCAGGGAGTGATTTCTCACTTTTCCTCTTTCTGTCTTCCCTTGAACCCCCACCCCACCCTCTGAAAAAAAGGGGAAAAAAAAGCTAGAGGGATCAGCAGGGGTCATGGTGGTTAAGGTGCTGGACACTCCCACCTGGCTGACCACGGTTTGAGTCCCGGACCTGGTGGCTTGCTTCCTCTCTCTCTCTCTCTCTCTCTCCCCTTCTGTGGTTAAATTAAATAGAAATAAATAAAGACAAATAAAATATTTTTTAAGGGCGCTGGACTCCCACCCAGCCAACGGCAGTTCGAGTCCCAGACCTGGTGGCTTGCTTTCTTACTTTCTCTCTCTTACTCTATCTCTCTCTGGTCAAATGAAAGTAAATAAATAAATGGATAAATAAAGTTAAGTGAAAAAAATAACAATGATTTAAATAAATAGATAGAATTAATGGATGAATAAATAAAATTTAAAAAAAAAAAGCCTGGCTAGAAGCTACCATGAAGGCACCAGGCTGCCTCTGCAAGGGGGAAGGTCCCCCAAGCCTGGCCTTTGCATCCTCAAACACCTATCCCCAGCTTCCCAATGCTCCAGGAGGCGCAGAGAGAAGGAAGCTGTCTACCTCCCAGAGCTGGGGTATCCCGAGGCCTGGCGTGGGGAGGGCCAGGTGCAGGGTGGGGGCTGGTGGGGCGTGGCCAGGGTGGGGTGTGGCCTCGTGGGGCGTGACCAGGGAGTGGCGATGCTCGTGCGTGGCTGGGTGGTGGCCTGATGGGGCTTACACGGCCCGGGGCTCGGAGAACACGTCACTGTGAATGTGCAACATCAGATCCCCGCCGGCCGAGTACTCCATGACAAAACACACGTGCTCTGGCGTCTGGAAACAGCCGAAAAGGTTCACCAGGAAGGGGTGTCCTGCGCTGGTCACTGCCGCCAAGATCCGCTTCTCACACATGAGGCTGGGCGGGGTGGGGAGCTGCGGTCAGGGATCTTAGCTGTCCCCGACCCTGATTCCTGCACGCCCCCTCCACCTCACCTTTCCCAAGTAACCCCCCAAGTCCCACCAGGAATGTGAAATGCTCAGCAGGTATTCGCTCAGGGCCTCTGAGGTCCTGTGCAACTCTGGGACGGCTACTGAATATCTCTGTCTCCATGGGGCCAGCAGGTGGCGGTGGTTAAGGGCGCTGGACTCCCACATGGCTGACTCTAGTTCAAGTCATGGGACCCGGTGGCTTGCTCTCTCTCTCTCTCTGTCCCTCTCTGGTCAAATTAAACTAAGTAAATAAAGTTAAATAAAATCATTCTTAAAAATAAAAAAAGTCTCTGGGGACCAGCAGTTAGTGTAATGACTGTCGCTGGACTCCCATGTAGTCAACTACAGTTCGAGTCCCGGACCCGGTGGCTTAAACTCACACCAGGCGCGTGTGCATGCGTGCCCAAGACCCTGAGAGGAGAATGGAGGAGAAGGGATTGTGGCGTGGCCATTGCCCCTGGGGGGAGATTTCTCGCTTACTGTCTCTCTGTGTCTTTCTGGGGAGTACACACGCCCTATAGCAAAAAAAAAAAATCTCAAGAAAGAAATCCTGAATGTGTTACTTCCTGGCTGTGTGACCTTGGGCAAATTTCCCACCCTCTCTGGGCCATCATCAGAATGAGAAAGTAACTGTATTTCCCTTCTAGGGCTGTGTGCAAGCAGTAATGAGTGAGTTACTAAATAACAGCCTTCCAAGTTTTTATTATCTGAAGAACTAGGCTGTGAGGGGCCGTGACTAGTCGCTATCCCATGAGTCACTCTGACTGCTGCTGCTCCAGGGAGCTGGCTCTGCTTTCATTTCCCAGAAGAGAAGACAGAGGTCCCCAGAGGGTCAAGGCAGGGTCCCTACCTCTCGACCTCATCGCGGGCCACGATGTCCCCTTTCTTTAAAGCCTTGATGGCAAACAGCTCCCCGCTGGACCGGAATTCAGAGAGCAGCACCTAGACCCACAGTGGGGAAGCGGTGACCTCAGTGACCAGTCTGGGGACATAGGGGTGAGTCTGGCCTCCCAGCCCCCCTCACCTCCCTGCCCTCCTCCTCACCTTCCCAAAGTGACCCCGGCCCAGCACCGCCAGGAACTTGAAGTCCTCGAGGGTCAAGGGTGACTTCCTCAGAGGGCTGTGGAGAGAGGACAGTGGTAGGGACAGGGGTGGGGGGACAGCAGCCAGGGGTGGAGGAGGGCTGCGGGAGGGGTGTCACCTGCACAGGGCGGGGCCTGGGGTCTCCTGGGGCTCTGAAGGCAGCTCGGGAGTGGAGGTGGTTTCCTGGATAGGGGAAGTCTGGGTTAAGACAAAGGTGAGATGAGTCAGAGATGTCCCCAAACCTAGACCTGCCCTTCCCCTCTCCTGTCACCCCCCTCCTTGTCCACCTCGTCACTGTGCCCTGGACATATCAGGTGCTATTCTACCCCAGGGCCTTTGCACGACTGTTTCCTCTTCCTGGACCACAAAGCCGAAAATACAGATTCCTTTCAACTGATGATGGGGTCGTGTCCACATAAAGCCACTGAAAGCCAGGAATATCATACATCCAAAAGGCATTTATTGGGACCAGCAGTTGGTGCAATGGCTATGCCACTGGACTCCCGTGTTGTCAACTGTGGTTCGAGGCCCGGACCCGGTGGCTTAAACTCACACCTGGCACGTGTGCGTGCGTGCCCAAGATCCCGAGAGGAGAATGAAGGAGAAGGGATTGCGGCGTGGCCATCCCCCCGGGGGGTGATTTCTCGCTTTCTATCTCTCTGTCTCTGTCTGTCTGGTGAGTGAACTTCCCATGGATCACACAGCCGTGGGGGGCAGAGCTGGGATGGGAATGGAGGCAGCTTGGCTCTGGAGTAGGGAGTTTTATTTTGCTTTGTTTTTGAGAGAGGTTTTTGCTAGAGGGCATGAGGGCTTGCCAGGGAGACAGAGTGAGAGAGACAGAAAGCAAAAAATCACCCCCCAGGGGGGATGGCTATGCCGCAACCCCTTCTTTTCCATTCTCCTCTGAGGATTTTGGGCACACACACAAATGTACCTGGCATAAGTTTTGTTTGTTTGTTTGTTTTTTAGTACATATGCTGCCTAAGCAAACACACCGAGTTTCAATCCGCTGGGTCCAGGACTTGAAGTGTGGTCGACTATGGGGGTGTCCAATAACATAACCATTATGCCATCTGCTGGTCTCATTTTCTCTAAGTGTGCCATAGGGCATGTGCACTCACAAGCGAGAGATACAGAGACAGAGAAATCACCCCCTGGGGGGATGGCCACACCGCAATCCTTTCTCCTGCACTCTTTGCAGGATTTTGGGTATGTATGCACACACACCCGGTGTGTTTTTCTAGCCACCAGGTCTGGGATTTAAACTCCTTAGTCGGCCACGTATGTTCCAGCCACCTTAATCTCCATGCCACTTGCTGGCCTTCTAAGCAGAGTTCTGAACCAGGAACTTTTTTTATGGGTTTATTAGAAATGTGCTGTGTGCTGGGACCAGCAGTTGGCATAATCGCTATGTCACTGGACTCCCATGTAGTCAACCGTGGTTCGAGTCCTAGACCCGGTGGCTTAAATTCACGCTGGGCGCGTGTGCGTGCATGCCCAAGATCCCGAGAGGAGAATGGAGGAGAAGGGATTGTGGTATGGCCATCCCCTCTGGGGGGTGATTTCTCACTTTCTGTCTCTATGTCTCTCTCTGTCTTTCAGACGAGCGCACCACCATGCCCTATAGCAAAAACCTCTCCAAAATAAAAGAGACGAACTGTGTGATCTCAGGGCAGACCCTGGCCGTCTCTGGTCCTGGACCTCTGATATTCCGGGTTTTGGGGGGAGCGTGGAAGGGGCTGCTTACCGGGCTCAGTGGGGTTTGAGGAGGACCCAGAGGACTCTTCTGGGGCGAGATGTCCACATCAGCCCCAAGGTTCAGCTTCTCCACGGATAGGTCTCTGCGGCACCAGACACGAAGGTATGTCAGGGACCCAGCGCCCTGGGAAGCCACAAGGGGCACCCCGGACCCCAGAGCCCTCCCTCTTTACCCCGTGGGCCGGGCCTCGGATCCTGGAGAAGCCCCGGGGCTGAAGGTCCCTGAGGCCGTGGTGTTGGGGATGAGTCTCCGAAGCAGCCGCACCCACGTGGCCACGTCGATGTTCATCTGTCTGGCGCGCTGAAAGGCCTTCCCTGGAGGCCAGCGGGCAGGGTCACCCCCTGTGACTCACAGGACCCCCCCATTGCTCCCCAGCCCTGGGACGCCCCCTCACCTTGCTGCTTGGAGAAGATTTTTTTCTGCCGTCGGAGTCGAGGAATCCTCTCGATGACGGGGTTGCGGAAAGTGACCTGGGGGGAGTGGCCGACAGTTAGGCCCCCTGGTGGCCCGTGGGCAGCCTAGCCAGGAAGTCTTTAAGGACAGAGGAGGAGGGCGCTCCCGATGGCCCGGAAGTCGGCCCTGCTCTGCTGCCTCCTCTCAGTGTTCCTGTCATTGGATCATATGAGGGTTTCAGTCTCAGGATATGGAACGGGTGACAGACAGACAGACAGACAGTACACAGAGACGGAGGGACGGGGTTGACAGGATGGATGGATGGTGGGCGGGGTGGAGACGTGACTAGATAGAGAAAGAGAAGGGACCAGCTGATGTGGTAATGGTTGCGTCGCTGGACTCCCACATAGTTGACTGTGGTTCGAGTCCCAGGCCCAGCACCTTAAAACTCATGTTGGGTTGGGACCGGCAGATGGCATGGTGGATAAGGGCACAGGACTCCCACACAGCCGACCACGGTTCAAGTCCGGGACCTGGCAGCTTGCTTTTTCACTTTCTCTCTCTCTCTCTCTTTCTCTCTGTCTCTGTCCCTCTCTGGTCAAATAAATAAATAAATAAGGTGAAATAAAATTATGTTTAAAAAAAGAAAAAAGAAAAATGAAAAAAACTCACATTGGGTGTATGTGCATGTGGGCCCAAGATCCCGCGAGGGAAAAGGATTAGAAGGGATTGTGGCATGGCCATGTCCCCCGGGGGGTGATTTCTCACTTTCTGTCTCTCTGTCTCTCTCTGTCTTTTTTGGCAAGTGCACACGCCTTATACAAAAACCTCTCAAAAAAAAAAAAAAAAAAAAAAAGGAGATGGGGCCACCAGGTGGTGTGATAGATAAGGGCGCTGGATTCCCATATGGCTGACCATGGTTCAAGTCCCGGACCTGGTGGCTTGCTTTCTGACTTTCCTTTTCTCTTTCTCTCTCTCTGGTGTCAAATCAAAAAGATAACAGTAACAAATGGAATTAAATAAATAATTATTTAATTAAAAAAAAGAGAGAGAGAGAGAGAGACTGAGAGATTGGGTGGGCAGGCAGATAGAAGATAGCAGATAGGTTGGGTGGGTAGATGGCTGTACGGACAGACTGGATTGATGGACAGACAGACAGGACGGATAAGAAGACAGGACTGATTGAATGACAGGCTGGATGGATAGACAGACAGATTTGATAGACAGGCAGACAGACGGAATGGAAAGATAGATAGGCTGGATAGCTACATAGAAGATAGTAGACAGGGGCTGAACGGTGGCGTGGTGTTTAAGGTGCCGGGCTCCCACACGGCGAAGTGCAGTTCGAGTCCCGGACCTGGCAGCTGGCCTTCTCGCTTTCTCTCTCCCTGTGTGTCTCTCTCTGGCGAGTGCAAACCAAACCCAAAACTAAAGCATCCCTGCCCTTGAGTGACGTGTGATGAGCATGTATGTGAAGTGGAGCACGGGTACAGGTTAGGAGCAAATTTAAGGAATGTCTGATGCTCTGCGATGCTTGGCCCACATGGGAAGGCTCCTGATTAGTATGTCGAGGTTCCCCTGTACATGCCAGCCACACGCGTGCTCGTGGTCGGTGGAGGGTGAGGGTGCACTGCAGCATGAAGACCCTTTGAAGGCACCTCTCTCTCTCTCTCTGTCTGTCTCTCTCTGCTAAACAAGAGGGTTGGCCATTTTTCTTCTCTATGCCTCGATTTCCTCTTGTGTCAAATTCAACTCATAACAGTCCATCTTTTGTTGGTTGCTAGGAGATTAAATGTCCACAAAGCACTTAGCCCAGGGCTGGTTTATACCCTCAAGCTCAGCTAGAAAAAAATTGTTTTGGGGGGGAGAGTTTTTACTATAGGGCGCATGCACTTGCCAGAAAGACAGAGAGAGACAGAGAGACAGAAAGCGAGAAATCACCCCCCAGGGGGGATAGCCACACCGCAATCCCTTCTCCTCCATTCTCCTCTCAGGATCTTGGGCACGCATGCACATGCACCTGGAATTAGTTTAAGCCACCGGGTCTGGGACTCGAACCGCGGTCGACTACATGGGAGTCCAGCAACGTAGCCATTACGCTAACTGCTAGTCCCTAATTTTTACTTATTCATTTATTTACTTTAATTTGACTAGAGAGAAATGGGGGGAGGGGGGAATCAGGTCCAGGACTCGATCCATGGTCAGCCTTGGGGGAGTGTCCAGCACCTGGACCACCACACCACCTGCTGGTCCCCAGCGCTTGGTATGTTTCCAAACAGCCAGGTCTGGGACTCGAACCATGCAGTTGGCTATGTGCGATCCACCCGTCTTACCTACTATGCCTCTGGCTGGCCCACCAGTGTGTTTTTCAAGCCACGGGGCCAGAATGTGAGCTGTAGTCAACCATGCAGGATCCAACTCCCTTAACCATCAAGACAAGGAACTGGCCCTCAATGCTTTCTAAATTTTTTTTTGAGACACTTCTACTATAGGACACATGTACTCACCAGAGAGACAGTGAGAGACAGAGAGATGGAAAGTGAGAAATAACTCTTCAGAGGGGAGATGGCCATGCCACAATCCCTTCTCCTCCGTCCTCCTCTCGGGGGTTTGGGCACGTACACACACGCACCCGGAGTGAGTTTCAGGCCTCATGGTCTGAGACTCGAACCACAGTGAACCATGCAGGAGTCCAGCACCTTAACCACTACGCCCCCTGCTGGCCACTCCATGTATTTTTCTATCAAAGTTCAGAGACCAACGGAATTCCTATCTTCCCTTCTAGAGAACTGGGAGCAGAGAAGGCAGGAAGCATTTTCTCGGGGTCATTGGTCAAGGGTCAGGCTGTACCTCGGCCACCAGGCAACCCTGGGGCTCCATGTCCAGCTGCACCTCGTGCCTCTCGTTGTCCAAGAAATCCTCCAACTTTAGGAATTTCAGGGCGCACAGGCCCCGCTGGTCCCTCCAGAACACAGCTAACTCCAGCTCCCGGGCCTTGAGGGAGGGAAGAGACATAGCCCCTGGGGTGACCGAGGCCCAGAAGCCCTCCTCCCCCAGGCCCCACCAGCCCCTAACCCGGCGCACCCTCTCCAGCTCCAGGATGAAGTTCTGGTCCCAAGCGTTGGGGCCGCATGGCTTCCAGGACGTCTGACCCACCACGGTGTTGTCTAGTTTGAGGACAGTACTGACTTCGCCTGCAACAGGAGGGGGTAGGCAGGGATACCTGAGTGGGGACACCTCCTAGTTTCCTAACTTCCTTTCTTCCATCCCTCCCTCCATTTTGCCAGAGGGCATGTGTGCTCGCTGGAGAGAGACAGAGAAAGAAAGAGAGAAGGAGAAAGCAAGGAAGCACCCCCCATGGGGTATGGACACACCAAAATCTATTCTTTTCTTTTTTTTTTTCTTTTTCTTTTTCTTTTTTTTTTTTTGGAGAGGTTTTTTGCTATAGGGCGCGTGTGCTCGCCAGACAGAGAGAGAGAGACAGAGAGACAGAAAGTGAGAAATCACCCCCCAGGGGGGATGGTCACGCCACAATCCCTTCTCCTCCATTCTCCTCTCGGGATCTTGGGTACGTACGCACACGCGCCTGGTGTGAGTTTTAAGCCACCGGGTCCAGGACGTGAACCGCGGTCGACTATGTGGGAGTCCAGTGACATAGCCATTACGCTAACTGCTGGTTCCTCAAAATCTATTCTTTTTTTTTTCCCCAAAATCTATTCTTCATCTTCTCTCCGTTCAGGATTTTGGCCAGGTACACATGCACACCTAACATGTTGTTTTTTCTTTTAAAAAACCTTTAATGATTGGGGCCAGCAGGTGTCGTGGTGGTTAAAGGTGCTGGACTTCCACATGGCTGACCACGGTTCGAGTCTTGGACATGGCAGTTTGATGTCTCACCTTCTCTCTCTCTTTCTTTCGATCCGTCTCTCTAAATAAATAAATAAAGTTAAATAAAACAATTCTTTCTTAAAAAAATAATTATTTATTTATTCTTCATTTACTCTAATCTGACCAAAGAGAGAGAGAAAGAAAGGGAAAGGGACAAAGCAAGCCACCAGGTCTGGGACTCGAACCATGGTCAGCCCCATGGGAATGTCCCGCTCTGTAACCATCATGCCACCTGCTGGCCCCCACATAAAATAATTCTTAAATAAGAAGTGTTTACTTATGGGACCAGCAGTTGGTGTCATGGCTATGTTGCTGGACTCCCATGTAGTCAACCTCAGTTTGAGTCTCGGACCCAGTGGCTTAAATTCATGCTGGGCGCGTGTGCGTGCGTGCCCAAGATCCCGAGAAGAGAATGGAGGAGAATGGATTGCGGCATGGCCATCCCCCCTGGGGGGTGATTTCTCACTTTCTGTCTCTCTGTCTCTCTTTCTGGCAAGCGCACGTACCCTATAGCAAAAACTTCTTCCCCCCAATAAAAGTGTTTACTTAAAAAAAATTATTTATTGTGGCCGGCAAGTGGAATGGTGGTTAAGGGCACTGGACTCCCACACGGCCGACCATGGTTCAAGTCTCGGACCTGGTGGCTTGCTTTCTCACTTCCTCTCTCTCTCTGTCTCTCTCTGATCAAACTGAAAAATAATAACGATAATAATAATAAATAAAGTTAAATAAAAATTCTTAAAAATTATTTATTCAATTTATTATTATTTTAATTTGACCAGAGAGAGACAAAGAAGAGAGAAACGGAAATTGGGAAAGTAAGCCACCAGGTTCAGGACTCGAACTTCAGTCAGCATGTGGGAGTCCAGCACCCCAACCACCATGCCACCTGCTGGCCCCATTTTTTTTCCTTTTAGTTTTTTTTGCTATATGGTATGTATGCTTTTCCAGAGAAACAGGGAGAGGGACAGTGGGAAATCAGCCCCCAGGGGGGATGGCCACACCACAATCCCTTCTTGTTCAATCTCCTCTTGGGATTTTGGGCATGCATGCACACGCGCCCAGCGTGATCTTCAAGCTGCTGAGTCTGAAACTCAAACCACATCGTCAGCCATGTGGGATCCAGTGCCTTAACTTCCACACCACCTGCTGGTCCGTGTCCAGCATATTTTCCAAGCCTCTGGGGCCGGGATTCGAACCATGATCAACCATATGGGATCCGGCTCCTTTACTACTAGGCCACAAGGCCAGCCCATTTTGTTGTCTTTTTTTTTGTTTGTTTTTAAGATTTTTATATAGGGTGTGTATACTTACCAGAGAGAGAGAGAGAAAGACAGAGAAGGAGAAAGTAAGTAAAAAATCAGCCCCGAGGGGATGGCCACACCATAATCCCTTCCCCTCCATTCTCTTCTTGGGACTTTGGGCATGCACAGGCACATGCCCTGCATGAGCTTCAAGCTGCCAGGTCCGGGACTCAAACTGCGGTTGGCCATGTACAAGCGCAGCACCTTAACCACTACGCCACCTCTGGCCCCAATGGGTTCGTTTTTTACCGCCTGACAGATTCAGGGTCTCCCAGGTCTCCATGCCACCCACGATGCCCACTCACTGGTGTTCTCAGTTTCTGCTTTGAGGCTGCTCCGGCCGCTAAGGCTTCCACTTCGGCTATAAAGGCCCCGGGATGGGCGGCTCAGGAAGGGGGGACGGCTGTCAGGGGTTCCGGGTCCCCCTGCTGAGGGTGAAGGGTTCCAGGGGATGGTCTCTGGGAGGTCCTTGCAGCCCACCACGCGTACCTCCAGGGTCCCTGCAGGAGGACAAGGCTCAGTGGGGAAGGGGGAGCGGGGTCACATTTGAGGCAGACAAGAGGAAGTGGTCACAGATGGAGGGGACATCCCAAAATGGCCCGTGGCAAATGGGAGCCAGTCAGGGACAAGCATGGGGAGGCAGGGGGTCAGAAGGATGTCTGAGCCGGAAGTGAGAATGAGACAAGGTGGGGTGTAGGAATAAAAGAGAGGTATGGGGGCAGAGGCTAGGACTCAAGAAGGAATAGGGGTAGAGCCAACAGATGGCGTGGTGGTCAAAATCTTGGACTCCCACATAGCCGACTAGGGTTCGAGTCCTGGACGTGCTGACTTAAAAATCACACCAGGCGTGTGAGACATGCATGCTCAAAATCCCGAGAGGAGAATGGAGGAGGAACTGAGCCATGGCCATCCCCCTTGGGAGGATGATTTCACACTTTCTCTCTCTCTCAAAAACACACGCCCTATGGAAAAGAAAGAAGAAACAGGTGGGACTCAGGAGTCCAGGGTAGAATTTATCCCGCTAATCTGAGGTCTAAGATGAACCGGGGGGTCTAGAGGGTCACAGGTCTGCAGAGGAGCTAAGGGGTCTAAGGAAGGTGGAGGAGGCTGGCCTTAGGGGGCTGTTCAGGGCTACGGGTCTGAGAGTGAGGCTGGAAAAAGAACAAGAGGGGAGAGGTGAGTGTGGGGACCAGAATCTAGGGTCAGAGGGCAAGCTGGGGGTGCAAGACCAGGTGCATGAGTTGGTGGGCTTGGGGAAATAGGGTGCAGGCTTAGAGGATTGGGGTGATTGGGGAGGGAGAGGACAGTGGGATGGAACAGTGGAGATTCGGGGTGGGGGGTGGGGATCTCAGGACAGGGAAATCAGAGGGTCAGAGGCCCAGAGCTGCAGGGCTGGGGTGAGGGCTTACCTGTGAGCGGTGCAGGTTTGCACAGGGTGCTGTAGTGCGTGGCGGGGAAGGGCCCGGCCAGGCGGGCGCTGAAAGCGGCAGAGGAAGCTGCAGCGAGTTCTTCCCGCAGAAGTCGCCCCTTGGGGTGGTCGGCGGGCAGGTCCCCAAGCCTCCGCTCCAGTCCCTCCCGCAGCAGTCCCACCTTA